GAACATCTGAGCACAAAATACCTTCCAAAAAGAAAAGAAACAGATGCAAACAAAAGAAAAAATATTAAGCTTTCAGCAAATCCCAAAGTTGAAGAATACACAGTTTATGTGTACATCTTGTGAATAAACCAAACAAGTAGACATACCAGAAAAATCTCCTTTTTCCACCAGTCCTTTTTTAACAAGCTGGAAAAAGCCTGTCAGTGGACTGCTGGTACAGAGGTCATACGTGTTAGACTGTTGCCATGGTCCTGAGGAGGTATACACAGAATGATGTAATATTTCCCACTGCCCTTTCCTTACACTCTCCTTCCCTCCCTCCCCTCCCTCATCATTATTTTTCTCTTTTTCTCTCCCCAGTGCAATCTCATTAGATTGGATTGCCCCCTGGCCACGAGCCCCAGTGGCCATGTGGCGATGTATCCTCTCTCCACCCCCCCCCTCCTCCTCCCTCCCTTTTCCCTAATACCGATTCCTCTGGAGTGGAAGTGTCTGATTGATGTCCAGCAACCCTATATCACAGTGCAGCCGTCCCTCTACAGCTGGTGGCTTCAGTCATGCCGTACAGCCAGATCAATCAGAGTGACCCCCGCTGTGCATACTGATCACTGTCTCAGAAACCAAAAACACGTCTACAACTTACAGAACAACCCCTGCCTGAGCGTCTACATAAGGCTAGACATTTTTCACATGTTATCAAAGAGACTAAATAATAACGATGACTTAAGCTACAACATTTTGATTTGTTGTTCCCAGTTCCCTAAACAGTTTGTCCAACAAAACAGGCGTTTATTTTTTACATGTTTTGATCTGTTATGGCGGTAACTTTGTTCTTGGTTATTGTACATTTTCTGTAACCATTTCTACCTCATTTTTGCGGCATATTGTACATGAAAGTATTTATTTCATGTCTCTTGTGATGTCTGTTTTAAAAATGATAATAATGTTCTTGAACTGTAATGGTCTACCTCAGAAAAGACTGTATTTTAAGAGAAGAGTATCACACAATATTAAACAGAATTTGTCAATATTGCATTGCTGTTATTTCTTTGTTTTTTTGGGACTCCAATTGACCAGAGTGCATAAATAACATGATGGTGCTTAACATCACTATCTGTAGCTTTGCTTGACCCCAATGTTGAGGTCAACAAATGTACTTAAAAAGATTGCTAAATCGTTAATCTTTGAAACACACAACACTATATCACAAGGTTTTGATTTGACTTCACACAGTTGGTAAAGTCAGTGAGCAAGAAAATAAATTGGTAGATTGTGGGTTCATGCAAAGGTTTTCCAGCCTGCACGTGTGTGTGTTTATATGTGTGTTGCAGCAACAGAAGCAGTGCACCCCCCCCCCCCCGAGGCTTCAGGCCCAGTACCAGAGCACAGAGGTCCTTCATCCCTGTCACTGTCTATAAACAACTGCCCGTCCCAGCGGCCCGCCCTATGCTATTCCTGGCCTTTCCTGACATCTTTCAAAGACTCAAAACTAACTGAGAGTAGAAGTAAATCTGAGCAACACTGTGCAAGTAAGTGGAAGAATAGTCAAGCTCGGAAACAAAATCCCCAGTTATGAATAGTGGTGCCAAAGCAGTTTGAACATCTGCCACTGAGTCCCAGTAGAACAGTAATGCTGCCGGTGTTGATGACAGAGTAATTAATTGTCTAATAATGATGCATAGCTCTGTTATAAAAACAACCTTGTGCTGCGGCTGCCCTTCATCCTCTGATGAAGGATAATCGTTTTTGCAGCTGTTTAAAAATTATTTCGTATCTGTTTCTATTACAATCGCAATAACATGATCCACACAACAACCTTGCAAAGACTAAGTGGAAATGTGGTGTATGAGTATATGGTATATGATATACTGCGCACCAATTTCAAACTACAGGAATGACACCTTTTCACAAGTAAAAGAAGTGATTTGAACTGCCTGGTGTTGTTTTTGTAGTTGTACTTTTATCCAAGTACCGTTGAAAATGCTCTGCCTCTGTAGTGTATAAGTTGTTTAGTAATAATTAAACAAAGACAGTAGCTTCTGGCTTTTATGAACTTCCACAGTCTGAGTCACTTTCCATCCAGTAAGATGAAAACTACTTTGTCCTTTTTGTCCTGAGTGATTCCTGTCCTCCAGGAAGTCAATCATTTTCTTCTCCCTGCTGATTGGAGGTAATTAGGCGAGCCGAGTTTGTAATTGGATAATAAAAGATGTTAATGAGCCGCTGTCCTATTAACTCATTCTGTGGCAGTGAATAGCAGGACACGGCTTTGCCACACTTCTCACTGTGATACAACTCCAATAAAAACCGATACATTTCACAATAATAACAAGATGTACATGTTAATCATATCGGAATAATCCGCCCTATCAAGTTAGGATAATAGGATACTTAAGGCTTTATAGCACATTTTAAATAATCTGATGACCTCAAAGGTGTGTAAATGTAAAGGAAACCAAATATTTTTGTGAGTACATTGCACGATGCATTTATGACTATTTTGAGCTTTAGTGTTTATATTTCTTTCGTGTTGATTGTTATTGAAGAATACGTTTCCTGCATGAACTCATCTCTTTTTTTACTGTTTAATTAATGTACATTTTCAGCTTCATCCAGAGGTGGCTTGACACAAACTAAGAAAGTTATTTATGGTAACAACCTTCACAGAAAAGGGTCATTCTCTGAATCTCATTTCACACAGTCCTCCTCTCTACCTTTAGTGGGCTGCTGCTCTTCCATTGTCCGGGCCTTGATACTGACAAGGTTGACATCAGAGGAGAGCTCTGACACCGGGTGAGTTAGGACTGCCAGCTGTTAGCAATCAAGTCTATTTTGAAGTCAGGGACACATGGACCCCCAGGGCCAAAGCAGCAACTAGCCCAACCCCTCGCCCCCCCCAACCCAGCCTACAACCTCCGAGCCCCCTGGTCCCACAGATAGCCAGCACAGCTGTATTGATTCCAGATGTTACAAAGCTGCAGTAAGGGCCGTTTACCTAAGAGGACCCCAAAAAGGATGACGGACCTGCACAGAGCGTAGTAATGCTGCAAACATTGAGCTGAAGCCTATTTCCAACAATAAGACAGCAGACAGCTAAAAAGATTTGAATAAAATATCTATAATTATAAGGTTTAACATAATATTCTCATACTCTTCTCCTTGACAGAGGATGTGCTGTATACTGTGACAGAGAAGGCATTACCTCTGCAAACTGCTTTTAGAGAAAGGCGTCAATGTCAGTTAATATTAGACATTGGCTTCTTCCTGGGCGAACTTGCTGTCATCAAAAATATTGGCCTCTATATTATAATCTAATCTTTATGGAAACTAGGCCCTGAAACCTTTTCGTGTCTTTTAAAGAGTAGCAAGACCTAAAGAGAAAACATGTTCAAATGATAAACAATCATCAGTCTGCAGCTCCAGGCCACATAAAACAAATTTGAAATCTGGATAGAGTGAGAAGGGACTGGCACTCAGGTTGTTTGAAAGGAAATGATCAAATCTTTGCAGCTGCATTGTTTCTGTGTCGAACAGGTCAATCAAAACTCTCAGGAAATTGGTTTTGACAGGTGGAATGTCCCGGTAAAATGTCTTGGCCTGCTCCCTCTCTCTGCTTAAATGTGATCAAAGAATAACATAATAGTAAATATGTAAACATGAGACTAATTGAAACTATCTGTTAACATATGTGAGAGAGTGGCATTAGAGTCTGACATTAATAGAAACAGATGAGGGTCTAACATGAATGTCTTCATGTCAAGTTTTCTTTCTGTTGCATAGTCTGCAGATGGTCATGTGTGATCTTGCTTTGATGGCACCTAATCTCAAACAGACCATTGAACACATTGAAAGGGAGGCAGACATGTTTACTGCAGGTCTGTAGCGCCCTCATGGGGCCCAACGATGAACATATAGGACCAGATGAATGAGCCAGATGGTGCCATAAACACATTCAGATTAGACCCATATAGATAGGGTACATATCTTAACTGTAAACTGTACACATACTGTTTATGTGATATTTAGTCTATTGTGAAATCAAAGTGCATGGATTAAACCAAAGTGCAAATACTACAATATTACTGCAGTTGATGTTAAAATTAACATGTTCGAAATAAGACAGCAGAACACATTTTCACAGCCATAACATATCCACAAATAGAACAATTACAGCTTCAAAATGTCAGACAGTCAAAACAGTAGTTGAACTGAACCAAACACAGCGACCCCTGGTGGCTCTACTCTGGAAACAAGTTACAATACGGTAATGTACCAAATGTACATATATAACGAACAAGCACTGACACCTGATACATTGTTATGGGTATGTTAACACTAGCCATGTTATGTCATTATTATATTATTATATCATTATTATACTGTATATTATTTGTGTTAATACTATATTTATTTTTTTAAACTGAAAAACTGAAAAATGTTATATCTGGAATACATGTGTGCTGTATAATGCATACAAGATGTAGAACAATCCTGATTGGGAATCTTTTTCCATATTTTCATATCCTAAATGTCATCCTACTATAAGAAGAATGAATCTGCTTGAGGTCACAGAGAGGTAAAATCATAATGTGTGGGCCTGTGGATTGTTGTACAATGGATGCCGTTGGGAAGATGTCTGCCACGAATTAAGGCACTGCCATCTGCAGATAGGGTATCATGTGTCACAGCAGATATTTACTGGAAGTTACCACATCTGGTGAAATGACTCAACATTACTCCGCCTACATCTCCTTCTCTGGAAGTTTACCAACTACCAGCCCACCAGACTCGACTTTCGTTTCATAGGGAGATAAATGCGTATATTAATATGCTCTATTTTCTGTCGTTTCATGCATGAGATTGCATTATTTCAGGGCAGTGTAATCCAGTAGACCACTGCACCTACTAATGTAAAACACACAAAGCGCATTTTTAGACATACAGTAGTAGCTTGTGTTTCTGTGCATGAACCCGCCTACATGCACACATCATCATCATATTAAACAGCAGCCGTGATGTTTGAATGGCAGACATAACTTGGTCATGTGTGAACTTGAACGTGCACGGGCAGGAAATAAAGCTCGCCTCTGGTCGTGTGTAACAGGGAAGTAAAACTTATACGTTGGTAGGAGTTTTCGGTGTGCTCAAATGCTCGGCACTCTAGAAGTTAATTTGCCCTCGGTTAAAAAGACAGCAACTGTGCAGCTTTTAATGGACAAATGTGAGGATTAAAGTGAGAGATGGAGGCAGGAAATGTTCAGTAGGGTGTTCGATCCAGCGGAATACTTATGAGACAGCGGAGGACGAAGAGGAAACGGACCACAGCATTTTTCAATGTTTTGAAATCAATATTTAACTGAAGGTAAGTGTCCTTGTTGTTTGTTTTTTCGTAGGAATATGATTCTGGTAAATGTGTGCGGCCTGCAGCTGAGAAGGCCTTGTCAATAGTAACAATGTTGCGTAATAAAGGAGGTAGTCATGTTTAGTTAAAAAAACTTGCAGAATGTTTCTCGGATTTATATTATGTTACAGTCATGCGATCCTTTATAGGGATTATCTCGGGATTTATTTCAACTTTAACCAGCTAAAGAGAGTTCTGCTAATCATTGTTTTTGCTTATGCAATGATCGAAGGAACAACCATCTTTATCAACTCCTTCATCCTGCGCCTATAAACTGAATAGGATTCATTGTTTTCTGTTAAAGCCTTATCTCTTTTTTATGATTGGCATTAACACTGGAACTGGTTATATATTAATATTCGTTACAAATACAGTTCATATAATGTTATTAAACATAACATTTAGTAAATACCATATCAGGCAAGCTGTGCTTTGTCATCCAGTACATGCTTATTTAATTATTTAAGATGTTTAATGATATATAACTAACATTAAAATGAGAACAATGTATAAGTACAATAGGCTACAGTCCAACAATACTAATAATGAAAATAATAAAAACACATTTTATTTGTATAGCACCTAGCCATACATAATAACAAAGTGCTTCAAAACAGAATACAAAATAATCTAATACAATAACACTAAAATAACATAATTATATAAAACCATTAATGTAGAAATAAACAAAAATAGAGCATACAATAAGATATTAAAATAACAAAACAATATACTTTTTTGTATATGTATGCATTTCTTTTAAATTGCTGGATATTTAAAAGAGGACAAGGATGTGGCTCAGAGGATCTTAGCTAGGCTCATACAGGATTAAACACGTATTCATATCTTCGTAGGACTGGAATTAATGTTGATAGTATCCAACCTGCATAAACAAGTGAAGTGTTTATAAGACTTGATGTGGGGCTAGTTACGCTCCTTGTGTGTCTCAGTTTTGAAAGGCATCCAGGTTCAGCAGTGTACACCAGGGAAAGGAAGACTGTCCAGCTGATCCTAACAATCAGACTGAACTTCTTGAAAAGCTTTTACCAACAAGGTGAGGACAATCATGACCCAACTAAATTAGATCAGCTGCTACTTCCACAGCATGAGGGTTAAGTGAAACAAAACACAAGAGGCAGATGATCTTCATACACAATCCAATGGAGACACTCCTGGAAGACGGAGCTTCAAGATAAAGGCCCACACACTAGGGACAAACAGACACCAAGCAGATAGTACTTAATATATGTATACTTAAACATTGTCTTGATTTGAAAATGTGTATGTTTTATACAGTAATATTAACAACCTACAAAACTACAGTAAGGCTGACCCTAAACCCTAACTACTAAATACCAAATTATCCTTATACATTACATTACATTACATTTAGCTGACGCTTTTATCCAAAGCGACTTACAATAAGTGCATTCGACCAAGAAGATACAAACTAGAAGAAAACAGAATCATATAAGTACATCAGGTTTCATAGAGCTAAAACATTTAAAGTGCTACTCAACTAGCTTTAGATAAGCCAGTCCTTTATTAGTATATAAGTGCTTCAAAAACCCTCAAAGTACACCCTGTAGGGAGTAAAACTCTAACACAGAAAATACCTCCACAAAACGCCTCGTTGGAGATTTCTCATTTTCCATTGTTTACTTCCTGGGTACTGTGACGTGTGAATACCCAGAGGCCACACCCTCTGCCAGCATTTCACGAAACAAAGCTTCACAAACCTTTCAGCGATTCATGCCGGATATGTACAGCGTAGGGCACTGAAGAACGATGCTGTTCCTACTTTGTTTGGACCAGCGGGAGATTCTGGTACACAACCTGTAAGTATTCATTGTTGTTTGTGTATTTATGATGTTTAAAACAAACAAGGTATCTACCACGACTGTTTAAATGGGTAAACATTTTTCGGGCTACTACGTTGGGATCGCGGAGAAATGCTCTCCGCAGACCCATTCTCACAGCGTTATAAACCTTCTTCTTACTAAATATCAAGCCACACTTATTGTTTTTACTTCGGCTGTGAGTGTTTGTGTGTGCTCAGGATGAATTTAGCTTGTTCTCGCTGTATCGCAGAGAGGCTCGCTCCTCGCAGCATCAAGCCTCTCAACGTCCCGACCAATCAGAGCACACTGGGCTCACAGGGAGGGGGGGGGCAGGAGCTCCAACAAGCCGTTTAGGACAGAGAGTGAATACCGGTGAATACACATACTTTACGGGCCGTCTCCACGGCAGCGTTAAAAAATCTTGAAACGCTTCTGCCCATTCACTTTGAATGGGGTGACGTCACTTTTTTTCGCTTTCGCCAAAATGCATTGTGGGCAGGTGAGCGGAGATTCTCAGGATTTTCAAGATCCAAAGTTGAACAATGTTCAACTTTTGAAGCTGAGGAGGAAGCGTCAGCCAATCAAATCCCGTGTACGCAAATCTGACAGTTCAAGCTCTAGCCAATCAAACGGCGTGTATGCTGGGAGAGCCAGACCGCAGGTCATTTCCTCATATTCCAAAAAATGGAGGAGAAATTAGCGGTAGCGAATCAATCACCCGGTGCTTTATGACCAGACCTACCGGGATATAAACCGGAGGAGCCAGGCATGGAGGGAGGTGGCAGAGACAGTGGTATGTTTTCGCCTGTTTTGGGGAGTTTATATCCAGTTTACTTCGGGCTTTTTGGCTTCGTATGTCGCGGGCGGGAGATTCATGTGATTGGTTGATCGCAAAAAAATCCCCAAGCCTCAGATACGCCCACCTCCAAGATTTTTTTTACCGCTGCTGTGGAGACGGTCCGTTACAGAGATGCTGTATGAGAAACCAATGTGAGTTTGGAAAATTGCACAGTATAAATCTATTCTAGTAGACCTCAACAATGGAATTATGATCAGTAGAAATGGCCATGACATGGGAGCTTTAAAGATTTCAGATTAAAGTCATTAGTTTACAGGTAGAATATTCTTTTTCATATTTTAGTATTAACTGCTGCGTTATACTCTTTTTTTGAAAAATGTGCCATAAAAATGATAATATGACATAATAGGCTACTTAAATGATGCTAATGCTTCTTGTACACACAATAAAAGCTCATATTGAGCCTCTGGTTTCTTCAGTGTCTCAACCTTGAAAGATCCATTTTGAGGTCCTTACCACACTGTACTGTACACTCGCTTTCTCTTTCACATCAAATTGAATAGTTTAAATGGGTATGGATGTTGAACCTGCAAATCACAGATGAATTCAAGAGAGCACTTTTTGCAGATCTCACCCATAATGTATAGATGTTCAGCTTCACTTATTGGATACATGATATTTCGGCAGATGACTTGTACGATGCGTTCTGTCAGATAAGTAAACTTTGGGCTTTCTGTGAGGAAGTGAAGCAGTACAGTGTCAGTTGGCAGCCACATTTCAATGGCTCAGCTTTTTTTTCATTTTCAGAGTTTTGAAGCTTATTGTTTGCATTAGAGGAAGGCTACTGGAGTCCAATAACACTTAGGTTTGTGTTTCTGAAAGATGATTGTTTGTATTTGACCTGGCATTGTGTTCTGTTCCCCTGAGGCTGATTTAAAGGAGTCTGCATTTGTAGTATTTATAACTTGTTGTGTGTGTATTGATATTATGGGACTTTTGTGACATTACAAATTCTAAATGATCACACAATGATTGTCAAATTCCCCCAAATTAATTTCTGAGAATGCTAGTAGAAAGTGCCCAGTATTGGTATGACTTCCCATTATGCAGTGACTTCAACAACACCACCATGACATGTGATTTTTATTTCTCTAACAGATAGGATCATAGTTATACAGTCTGTCATCTTCAACAAGAAATGTAGCTAAAGTTGAAAATATATATTTATTTAGTGTATCAACAGCTTGCAGAAGGTGCTACGTGTTTTTATTACTCAATTTAAATCCTCAGAGAAAGATTTGGGATTTTGGGCTTTAAAAAAAAGAAAGATTTGATTCTATTCAATGAGTCTGTTTAGAGTGCCACCTCTGACGTTTGACCCCCCCCCCTGTGTTACGGTCCTTTGTTTCTGCACGTAATATTTTGTAAACTTCCTGTGTGGACTTACCAAGGCAATGTAGTAACTGTACCAAATGTAGAAAAAAAACAAATGATAAGAGAAAATAAATACTAACATACACGTATTCAGAAGGACCTTGTACCTGATTTTGTCTTAAATTGAAAACGCTCCTGATCTCCCACTGAATTCCATTTTTGCCTATTTTAGACATTGTTTTATTTACAGGCAGTGTTGGACGAGGGAGAGGAATGACCTTAGGAAATTTGTTGCAGTTTTGTGTTTTATCTGGGCCTGGCATTTTTCCGGCAGTACACAAAGCCCCCCAGGAATTATTGCAAAAACAAGAAGATGTATATTCTTGTCCCTGCTTGTGAGGAAATATTTGTACGCAATAGGAACTCGAAAACATTGGGTTTCTTGTGTAACACATCCAACATATATGTATTCCTATATGTAGGAAAATATCGAAGAAAATCTGCCTTTTTTAAATTGTCAGCACTAAGTGTGCAGACTCTCAGTACATTAGATAGTGTAGCTTCATCAGGGGAATATATTGCTGACCCTGTTTCAAGTCAATTTGACTTATTTAGAACCAGCAATATGACACATTTCACTCATGGGCTTTACACTCTGCGCAGCATACAACATCGTCTTTTATCCTATTAGAAAAAAGGTTTCCCCCAAAACATTTTAACTGGGATAAAATAGTCAAAACCTCAGGTAGAGCAGCTGGGGAGGGATCCCTCTCACTGGACGGATGTATAGGAATAGGATGTACAGTGTGTGAAAAAGGGAAAGTAAAAAGAAAAAACGTTATACAACACAACTAAAGTTGGTTTTCTGTGTTAAATACGAGTAACATTAGTTGTCTTATTCATTGGGTATTTTGAATACTTGTACTGTACAGTATATGAGTAGTTGTAATTCACAGTGTTAGCCAACATTATAGACATTCAACACAGTTTGAAGAAAGTGTGTAAACAGTGGCTAAAGAGGCAGACATATGTCCTGTACCTTGGCCATGGTTTTACCGTGATTCCAGAGTAACAGTGTGGACTTTGTAGTTATAAAGCAGCCTTATTGAGGTGCTGCCGCAACATGTGAACACAACTTCAACTGCAAGAGACCAAGATGGCTGCAAGAGGATGACAGGATCATTGTATGTTTATTCTTCTAAACTCTCAATACTAAGAGTTCATACTGATACTTGTGTTCTAGCCAAAACACATTGAATAGCCATCTGAAACAAGTCTAAATTCCTTTGCTCTTACTGTGATTGTTTGTTGTTTACTGTTGAAGCTTCTCTGCAGGACTGACTTGCTCGTTTACACTTTCTAAAGCTTTGACCCTCCAAGTTGTATTGGGTGGTGTTGTCCAGAGTTTTATTCTATATCCGATCAATAAATGGAAACTGAGAGGGAGTAAACTGCAATGAAACCAAACCATCAAATGAAAGTATGATGTTACATTTATCATTCTAGACTTCAAAAAGCAGCAAAGTGGAAGAGCAACCTGTTGATATTATCTTTAGAAATTCAATGTTCGCCCGATTTCAGACAAAACAAAGGAGACCACACAGATTTTCAAGGTTTAAAGTTAAACAAATGTATTCAACCCACAATAAACAATAAACAAAAATATGATGAAATATGTAAATGGTTCTGATCAGCAATGTAGTCTAGAGCGTAAAGTTTAGAGCTTAGGGTGTTGGCAGCGTGGAGTGTAGGTAAAGTGTGGAAAGCAAATCTAACAGTTATCAAATCACAAACAAACAAAATCCATCTATTCTATTCTTCTATTAAAGGAAATAGATAATTAACATGTTGTGCCATTCCATAAAGCAATTAGGAGAAGTTCATTTTGGCTTATCCTGAAACACATCTGCTATTCAGACTGCTTGCTAACATAGAAAATCCCCAAAGCTACAAACAGTGTCTTTGAGATAACTCAAAGCACAAGTCAGCATTTCATAATTAACAAACAGCCAGATAGAGGTTGACATAAAAAGCCTCAGG